ATAAGAGACTATCTCCAGCCCAACAAGCAATGTCCCAATTCCAAAAATTTAACACAGTCTGAGAAAATGTAGTGGTTTCAAAATTGTCAGGTCATGCTCCAGTATTAGATTTTCCCACTTAGAAGAGAGAATGGACAGGCTGACAGCCTGGGGGCTGGGGGTGAGACAGTGTCGTGGTGTAGGGCACATGATGGGCTGCACATGAGGAAAGGTCATCTTCTCTCGATCTGGAGAGCAGACTGGTGTGTTTGGACAAGATTTAGAAGTGGAGGGATGGTGGACAAAGGGAGATAGGACCCCTTAAGCACCGGGGGAAGAGGCTTGAATCTGCCCATACCAGGCTTTTAAAAAGTGACACCTGAGAATAACAAATTCTGGCGAGGATGCGGAGAGAGGGGAACACTCCTACACTGTCAGTGGGACTGTGAATTAGTACAACCACTATGGAAAACAGTATGGAGGTTTCTCAGACAACTATAGAGAGATCTACCATATGATCCAGACATCCCCCCTTTTAGGTATATACCCGAAGGAATGGAAATCAACATGTCGAAGGGATACCTGCACGCCCATGTTCATTGCAGCTCTATTTACAATAGCTAAGATATGGAACCAACCTAAATGTCCATTGACAGATGACTGGATAAGGAAAATGTGGTATATATACACAATGGAATAATACTCAGCCATAAAAAAGAATGAAATTCTGCCATTCACAGCAACATGGATGAGCTTGGAGAAAATTATGTTAAGTGAAATAAGCCAGGCAAAGAGGGAAAAATACATGTCCTCACTCAAAAATGGGAGCTAAGAGAGAAAGAAGGTAGGAAAGACCACAGTGATGTGTTGGACTTACAGAGGATGAGAATATACCTAGGGTTGGGCCAAGCCCGTGGCGCACTCGGGAGAGTGCGGCACTGGGAGTGCAGCAGCACTCCCGTCGCGGGTTCGGATCCTATATAGGGATGACCGGTGTGCTCACTGGCTGAGCACGGTGCAGCCGGTCTCAAAAAGGACAAAAAAAAAAAAGAATATACCTAGGGTTGCTGGGATGGGGAGGGTTGCTGAGGGAAGGAGGTTGGGTAGGGGGCATGGGGAAAAATTGCAATTTGTGGTAATGGGCACGCTGACAGTATTGATCTGATCATTGCATCTTGGGCACAGGTGGTGATGGTCAGCTTTGTGCCTCATGAATATGTGTAATCAATAAATCAATCAATATTTTTGAATGTCTGAAGGGGAAAAAAAAGTGAGACCTAAATACAAGTGGGGGGGAGGCATTTCAAGAAGGGGTAATGGCTCAAGCAGAAGTGCCAAGGCAGGAAGTTGTGTGGTGCATTTAGAAGTAGACAAGGTGAGCTGGCATAGAGTAGGTAAGCAGTAAAAAATGAATTTGCAGGAATGGAAGCATTAGGCTAATAACTTTGAACTATTTTTTCTACACAGCAAGAGGCTATACAACATTTTTAAGGTGGTGGCAACTTGTGAAAAGAGGAGTTTAAGAGAAGTTAATTTGTCGATAGTATGCAAGTACTTAACTGTAAATTAAGTAAATTAAGGTGGGGACTGTATCTGCCTTATCCCCCATTGTCTCTGAAGCCCTTGCACANAAGGACCAAGAACATAATGTTCATACCAGAAAGAATTGTTTGGAAGGATGCAGGGTGATGGGGGAACCAGATTTTCTGACCCTAGGCGAGATAAGTATTTTCTAGGCTGAGAGAGCAAAGAGCGACTGACTGATGTCTATGTTCAGGCACCTGTCTGCATCCTGAAAAGGAGAGTGGGAAGTTCAGGGGAGTGGAAAATACTTACAGAACCTGCACGCAGGTGTTGAGATCCAAAAAAAGGAAGTACCTGTGCCTCCCATCCCTGGTGGGGACTGTGGGAAGCAGAATACCTGTCCATCATGGGTAGAAAGGTAACAGCAAAACAGAGATGGGTAGATACATGGGAGTTTAGGTGGGGAGCCTTGTAGAATTTTCCTCCACCCGGCACAGGGAGAAACCAAGGCAGCCTGGAAGAACATGGGAGAATACCAGCTCACCTTGAAAGCTATGATTGCACAAACTGATGACCATGATGCCTTGAGGGGAACACAGCCATCCTAGAGAGTGCTAGTGTGGACAGGTGGTTGTAACCAATGATTGGTAGCCCTGTCCCACAGCCTGGAATTACGTAAGCCCCCAGGAATGTGAATGTAATGCCAGAGATTGGGGCAATCATGGAGGGTTGGGGTGGCAGGAGGCTGACCTGACAGAGATGCAACATTGATTGGAATTAAGTTTCTACCTCCAGTTGGAATGGCAACACAAAATAAAAATGAAATTCNCTGCAGGAGGAGGGAGAGAGGGGCCTCAACTCTGGTGAGACATTGGGTTGGGAGATGCTTTATTACTAGAAAAGCTTCTAGACAGTTACTCGGTGGCTTTCAGGGAATGCTTGACTCCGTGGAAATGTGGTTAAGTGCATCTCAGATACCAACCATAAAACTGAATTTAGCATGTTGTTCCAGGGCAGTGAAGCAGGGACTGCTGTGTGAGTGACAGTTTTGCCATCTCTTATAACAGTGATTTGGTCACAGGTAGTGGCAACATAATTTTATATTTGTGTGTTAAAATTTTAAAACCAACAATCCTTTATACACAGGGGAGACAATATGGTGTAGTGGTTATGGTTATGAACTCTGGAGCCAGACTGCCTGGGTTTAAATCCTGACTCTGCCACTTCCTAGCTGTGAGACTTCGGGCAAGTTACTTAACTTCTCTGTATTTCACATTTTTCATTTTGAAAATGGTGATAATAATGCCTCCTTAATGGATTTACACGAAGTATTGAAAGAAATGTTTTATGTAAAGTGCTAAGAACAGTGTCTGGTACATAAAGGTTCGATAACTGTTAGTTTTTTTATCACTAGTGGTTTAGTCATCTTATGCAAAATATAAATTGGAGTACTATGTTGGTATATTATCTGGAGTGTTTTTTGATTCCAGTAATTTATTTTTATCCTCTGGCTTTTCAAATCAGACAGCCAACCACCCACTGCCTTAGAGGGACAGAAAAGTAGAAAAGACTTTTAGTTTCAGAAGCCAAAGTTTTGCAATTGCAAGAGACTAGGCATTCAAGTTTCAAAAATCTAAATAAGGAAGGACCAAGAACATAATGTTCATACCAGAAAGAATTGTTTGGAAGGATGCAGGGTGATGGAGGAACCAGATTTTCTGACCCTAGGCGAGATAAGTATTTTCTAGGCTGAGAGAGCAAAGAGCGACTGACTGATGTCTATGTTCAGGCACCGGTCTGCATCCTGAAAAGGAGAGTGGGAAGTTCAGGGGAGTGGAAAATACTCACAGAACCTGCACGCAGGTGTTGAGATCCAAAAAAAGGAAGTACCTGTGCCTCCCATCCCT